AAAAAAAAAAAAATTCCCACAAAAAGAAGAAAAAGAAAATTAATACTCTGTAAATGTAGGAGGTTTTTTATGAAATTAAATTAGATTACTTGGTTAAACATATTCCCTATACCAATTACGACAATTGATTTGATTAAACTGACAATATGAATAAAGTTGGCAAATGAAATTGATAAACAAATATACTTTTTAAGGATCAAAATCAGAATCTGTGTATACTTTGAGGGTAAAAAATGCAAATTAAGTCTCAATTAAATAATATTCCCTCCTCTCAATCCACTTCCCAACGGTGCTTTATTAATTTTCTGGCCAACAATAATTGTTTTGGTATGGTGGTGGTTGAAATGAAACCGTAGGGCTAAGGGAGAGAGAGAGAGAGAGAGAGAGAGAGAGAATGCACGCACCCAAAACCAAGTCAAGACACCAATGCTGACGAGCCTGTAGTAGTCACCCATAGATAGGCGGCTCAAAACATGATACATCAAATTAAAGAATTTAAATTTTTTTTAATTTATTAATTTCATAAACGAGGAAACTCGACATGAAATTATAATAATCGAATTCAATATGAGTAAAATAAAATAAAAAAATATATAATACGACTTATTTATATTTCAATCGTACACGGTTCATGTACGACATAAATTCAATATAACAGGATTAATTAATTAATTAATCAAGTATANAATTTATTAATTTCATAAACGAGGAAACTCGACATGAAATTATAATAATCAAATTTAATATGAGTAAAATAAAATAAAAAAATATATAATACGACTTATTTATATTTCAATTGTACACGATTCATGTACGACATAAATTCAATATAACAGGATTAATTAATTAATTAATCAAGTATAAGTAGAATATTTTTTTATACGAACTTATCTTACCTGACTCGGTTGACAGACCTACTCATACATGCGTATCTCCCTTTTTCTTTTCTTTTTTTCTTGCCTTTGAACTTGTATATCTTGATAAAAAAAAAAAAAAACAACTTGTATAGCCTTGTCTTAATGTGCTACATTTTACATTTACCAAATTTAGAACATAAACATGTTTCTCCACTGACGGTAAAGAAACAAAAGCAGACATTCAAATTTCNCGTATCTCCCTTTTTCTTTTCTTTGAACTTGTATATCTTGATAAAAAAAAATAAAAAACAACTTGTATAGCCTTGTCTTAATGTGCTACATTTTACATTTACCAAATTTAGAACATAAACATGTTTCTCCACTGACGGTAAAGAAACAAAAGCAGACATTCAAATTTCATCTGCATCAACAAATCTGGACTTAGTGATCCCGTTCTAGCTCAGATATCTTGGTATTATGGCAAACTATGGCAAACCGTTAAAGTGTCTAAGCCAGCTTACGCTAATCTCTCAATTTGGTCAAAAACAGTTCATCTACATTAAAATTATGAAATTCATGAGGGACAAATCCCTCGAGACCCCAATTTCAAGCTTATGATATTTAGATTTACAACTCATTTTTGTCTCCACTAGGCTAACTTGGGTTATTGCCCAGATATCTTGATCTCTAAGTAATATATGCCACAAATTTCAGGTTAAACTCCACCCTGGTGTGTTTCATTCACTTAGCTCATGGACAGTGGCTTCAGACAATGCGAGCCCTCTTGGACTCTGCTACTCAGTCCTCGAGCTGCTTTCAGTGGTATAACAACTGAATCACTAATACAGAAATTTAAGATCCGACCAGTATAAACTCTTCAGAAAGCAGCTAGAATGCGAATAAATCAATCCACAACATCTCTTAGGTAAAGTTTCAGTCAACTTTGATAAGGATTTGACTACAAAACAACAACAAGAGTTGTTTAATCATCTGAAGTGTTCTTTGTTTTACATTTTGTTCATGGACACAAAAAGCTATCGCAGATAAAAAAAAGACCTTTTTTTTTTTGGAGATTTCTCTTATGAAAGAAAAAGAAACACAACACATGTGAAGTGTGAGACTTCCTCACTCAAAAATAATCTCATTACACCTCAAATATCAGAACTTAACACTACCATGGAACGCAAAATAGACTAGATGTATTGTTATGCCTCAATATCAAAGCTCGTATGACCTTTTGCCCGAGGGTTAGGGACTGAGTCATTTGGCCCGAGGTCATCAATAGGTGGTCGTTGTTTATGATGATCAGTGACTGACTGAAAAGCCATTGCCAGCGCTAAAGCCTGCACATAGAGGTAAGATTAAGAGAAGAAACCAAACACAGTAAATGGTCTAATATCTTTTTCCAGGGAACCACTTCACTGTATTTCTATAAGATAATAAGACTTAAAAACCAAGGTTTCCCATTTCCAACATTACAACTCGAAATTGTTCAACAATATAAAATTCATTGGTCAAAGAGGGATTGTCAATCTTATGGATGATGTTATTCAACATCCCCAACCAAAAGAAGTACAGAGGATAAGAGAAGAAAAAATCAGCAGCATATGGAGGTATCAGTTTGAAGGACAGCTTACAATGTGATCGTGTTCAGGAGGAGCATAAATTCCGGTGGTGATGGTTGTTCTTCTTCGAGTATCATTTGAGGGCGGATCCAATATTTTCTTAAATCCAGTCGGAACAACAATTACAGGCATGCCCACAAGATTGCCAATGCAAACTCTCTCCCAATCAGTTGCATTGCCAACAAATGCATCAACTTTAAAACTTGCTCTTACTTCCTGAATTAATTTTCCACGCGCTCGTTGTGCCTGTGGACAATCAGTTATTCTCTGTACTCAAGCAACAACTCAAATTAAATAAGGTCAGGGTTCTGCTTGCTATTTTCTCCATTGGTGGAAAAAAAATCGATATAATTGGTCTCAAAGACCTCACTCCCATCACTTCTTTCATTCCCTCAGTGGCTTAACTAGTAATGATTGTTACACCTCAACAAAGTCCTTCCTATAAATAACTAAAGCCTTAAGAAATATAAATGAGAATCGACTTGGCATTACACTAGAACTAGCACAGCAAAATGTCAATAAAGCCACTTGAAAATGTGAAATACACCTACTTCATTTTGTTTTCCCTGTGAAAACTTCATCTGACACTAACACAACAAAAGACAAAGTCCCACACTTTTCAAGTAAGGACATGGCCAGTATATGATTGTCAAATATTGGCNTTCATTTTGTTTTCCCTGTGAAAACTTCATCTGACACTAACACAACAAAAGATAAAGTCCCACACTTTTCAAGTAAGGACATGGCCAGTATATGATTGTCAAATATTGGCTTTTGGCACTTGATATCTTGTTTTTTTCTTGAACCTGTGAAGTGTGAAGTAAAATGCATCAGGCATTGAAAGCCTCCGTCATGACTGGATATGAGAAAGTGCCATAANGCTTTTGGCACTTGATATCTTGTTTTTTTCTTGAACCTGTGAAGTGTGAAGTAAAATGCATCAGGCATTGAAAGCCTCCGTCATGACTGGATATGAGAAAGTGCCATAATCAAATGAATTACACTGCTTATCAGAGTTGCCAAAATACAATACATTGGTAATATCTAAAGAGAGGATGAAGAACAGCATCTTCAAACCTATGACAAGAAACCATTTGAGTTCACAAAGACGATGCAGGTATTATTGAATAGAACTAGTGTAGAGATAATTTGCTTAAGCTAATCATAGCTAAGAGCCCTATAGAAATTTTATAACAAAGGATGGTTCAGGTGATAACCTTTGACAGTTCAATTTCTGCTCTAGATTAGAATTTCGTCAAATATCAAGAACTCCTAAGGTTCTAACTTTTGAAGTCAACAGAACACTATATAAAAAGTAGAACTCACTTGGAGAATCTTATATTCAAATAACACGAGGTGACTCTTAGCTCTTTATCTATATTGCTAGGATCTCAAGAGTTATTTTTCGGTATTATAATTAGACACATATCATAACATCCAACTTAATCCCCATAATGAGGATCGATCTGGGTTAATAATAGACTGGGAATAGAGTATAGACCTAATATTTGACACTAAAAAGATAAAAGGAGCCCATGGTAGAGCAAGCTCCCGTCCGTGCAATAGTAATTGGACTGACAATGAGATACCTGAATGTAGTCCACTGCAGGTATCACACGTGCACGACGAAGTTCAAGAGGCCATTGATCTTGAGCTTCATACTCATCATCAAGCCCAGAGCGCTGCCACTCATCGAAGTGAGCCAACATATCAACATCCATTGTAAAATTTAAGATACCTTGAGCAGATTCCACAGTATAATTCAATTTGAATGGAATCATATTAACACCCTTTGATTGAAGCACATGGACAACCTGTCATTGCCGTCACAAGAAAGATGAACTATTAGTCCCCTACCAATTCTAGAATCAGTTAGATAAGTCATTTAAAATATTCTGACTCAGGTCAACGAATGCTGAGTTTCTAAACCCCAATCATGAAATTTTAGTGCAGTTTGTGAGAGATTCACTTACCTCCATTTCAGCATCGTCAATATAACCGACAGTTAGCTTTGTTATGTCCACCGAAAATGGATCAAGTAAGTTAATGTCTCTTGATGAAATATCATCTGGATCCTTTCCTCGAATGGCATCCAGAACAATTGTGCAGTCAGCAGCACTTCTACAGAAAGGGCCAAGCTTATCCTGTTAAAGGTTTAAATTCCACAATTATAGAAAATCAAATTAAAAAAAAGGGTATAATACAAATCAAGTCCAGTTACTACCAAGCTATCGGACAAGCTCAATACACCGGTTCGACCAACAGTACCAAAAGTTGGGCGCAATGCGGTAACACCACAACGAGCAGCAGGATAAGTGATGGACCCAGCCGTTTCTGAACCAATTGCAAATGGAACCATACCTGTTACAAAACAGAACATTTGCATAGTTCAGCCAATAATTTGTTCCAACCAGCTTGATAAAAGCACAATGAATAGATCGACAGAGAGAGAGATTTCCAAGAATCAATGGAATTCCAACATCAACAATAATCTGCCTATTACACAAGTCTAGTGTTTTCTGTTTTGGGTAACTACAACCCTAGTATTTAAGGCAACTCAAGAAGATAAAAATCAATCCAAATATGAGAACAACATCATATTCTGAAATGAAAACATTCAAATCCGTGAATTAAGAAAAAGGATTAATCCCCAACTGGTAAAATCAAGGATCGAAATTTCGTTTCGAAGTACCGTTTCGGTCAGCTCAAAAATGAAAACGTTTCGGAAACGCAATGGAAACGCAGAAAAAATATGGAAACGCATAGAAACACAAATACAATCCATTAATTTATAAAGATATGCTAAATAATTGATTAATTCAACATATTTATTGAGTTAACATCTATTTATACAAGAATAAATTTAAATTTGAGGGAAAAAAAGGCTTGACTTGAGGCGAAAGTCACTTAAATTAGTTTCAAACACTTAATTTTTATGAAATAAACACATTTTTACATAATATTAAGGTCTTATAATACACATGAAATGCTAATGAGTACATACTTACATGGTTACATCCATTCCCCTGTGGAGTGTCGAGCAGGCTCATACATCGGTGTAGGCTCTGGGTAGCTACTTAGAGAAACTCCATATGTGACATAAATATGATGACAATAGTTACTCCAAATCATATTATTACGGTAATATAATCCAATTAATAATACTATTTTATTATAATACTAATAATGAAGGGTATCAAATTAAATTAATGATACTTATGTATACTTAAAAATTAAATGTAATTGCAGTGGGTATTAAATGTAATTACAGTAGGTATTAAATATAATTACATTAGGGTATTAAATGTAATTGTTAATACTTATAAACCAAAAAAAAAAAAGCAAAAGACTTGCACAGCAGTGGGGTATTAAATATAATTACAGTAAGGTATTAAGTGTAATTATTTATTCTTATAACAAAAAAATTATAAAAGACAGAAGAGCAGTGGGAATTAAATGTAATTATAATGGGGTTTTAAATATAATTATAGTGGGTATTAAATGTAATTACCGTGAGTATTAAATGTAATTATTCATAGTGAACCGAATATATCGTTGTTTTGTCGAAACAGTACTGTTTCGACCGAAACGGTCCGAAACAGTGCCGTTTCAACCGAAACACTGGAATTTTGTGATTTAACTACTGTTTCGTTTCGGAGTGTTGAAATTCCGAAACGTTTTGGACGTTTCGGACGTGTCGACACGACATTTTGATCCTTGGGTAAAATCAATACCTAAACACTGGGATACGCCCAACCCAAAGATGTATTCAAACCTACTGCTTGTGGGTCCCATCCCAATCTCCATTGCTGTTATCAAGCCAATCCACCACATATTTGTGTTATGGTTGAAGGAAACAATTTCATGAGATGTCTTTATTCCCTCAACATTAAACAAATAATTACCAACCATAGCATACACAGATCTAATGCATCAGATGATAATAATTGTTGATTATGCAATAATTCTAGAATATATAATACCTGCTGAGGTACAGGCAGCAGGGCCAGCTGACGAACCAGTAGAATATTCCTCAATATTCCATGGGTTCCTAGTCCTACCCCCAAACCAGATATCATCATATGCCAATGATCCAGTAACTAGCTTTGCAACAAGAACTGCCCCAGCATACTTCAACCTGTTTTGAGTGGAGTTACAAACCCCAAAAGCTGCATATAAATTGATTTCATTTTTGACAGAATTCTCTTCATATTCCAATGTGTTCAATACCTCTTGTAAACCCAGGCTTCAATTTCGAGAACTTGATCTTTGAATGNGCATATAAATTGATTTCATTTTTGACAGAATTCTCTTCATATTCCAAGGTGTTCAATACCTCTTGTAAACCCAGGCTTCAATTTCGAGAACTTGATCTTTGAATGATTTTGAACCCCAAGTTGTTTTGTATTTGGGTACGGCTATTATGTCCTTCAATCCATATGGAATACCATGNTGATTTTGAACCCCAAGTTGTTTTGTATTTGGGTACGGCTATTATGTCCTTCAATCCATATGGAATACCATGAAGGGGACCTATACAAGTGCAATTGGAATACAGAATCAAGTTTGTAACCAAATATACAGATGCAATCTATAAACAAGGGTGGGTGGGGGGAATTAGGGGTTCAACAATAACTGGAAAGTCTACTATATGGAGAAAAACTTGATGTCGGGCAGATTGAGCAAAGCCTTTGTACATAATCAAAGCTTGGCAAGCCAATCAGAATCTCAACTACTTGAAAACCTTTATCAATCCCCTTGGCAATTCAATCAAATGTGCTCGTACTCTGATGTTTGATTTTTTTTTCTTTGTTTGTTTAAAACCACTCTTGGAATACCTAAGCAGTTTCTTACAACAGTTGAACGACATTTTAACCTGTATTTTCTTCTAACACCATGGTAATTAAACACTGAAGTGTCATTTCATGGTAACTTCAATTTCTGAATTAATAGACAATATATTGAGAATCATTTGTTAGTGTTCTGATTATTCCGAAAAAGAGGTTATTACTCTGATCAATTCTGATATTAACAGAATGTAAAAGTACCTAGATATACGCCTTTGGCAAGCAGTTGATCAGCCTCTTTTGCCTGTTTGTATGCCAATTCTTCAGTGAAAGTGACCACAGATTCAAGCACCGGATTGTACCTGAGGGTTTCCCCAATGCACCATTAGAATGAGAACATGAATGGTGTGAAGTCAGAGACACCTAATCAAGACGGATCTAGGAATTTATTAAAATTTTTGAACCATTCAAAGGGATGAGGCTAAATAATTTGAGGGTATTCATAGCTAATAGTGCAATGATAAAAGGGATTTTCCAAACTTCGGGTTCACCCCACCAACCCTTATATCATTCCTTACACTTCAATGGAGTTGTGCCCAATCCTACCCAATGCTACCTGGATCGTGGGAGGCTATGGNAACCCTTATATCATTCCTTACACTTCAATGGAGTTGTGCCCAATCCTACCCAATGTTACCTGGATCGTGGGAGGCTATGGTACGTAGTACGGGTTCGGGTATATGGTACGACACTTGTTTTGGTATGCAATACAATGGAGGTAGGTTTAGTTGGTACGGTATTTTGGGTCACAATTCGTGGAACTCTTATATAGATTGTTTTCACTACTACACACCATTATATATTATAGAACACATTCATAAACACTAAGTTAGTTATTATTTATCTTATAGTTGTACTTGANTTCACTACTACACACCATTATATATTATAGAACACATTCATAAACACTAAGTTAGTTATTATTTATCTTATAGTTGTACTTGATTTTCTATTATCTAAAAAAATATATAATTATAAATTTATATACATATAGTCAATTAATATGTATTTTATATTTGTGCTACGTGTTTTAAAGTGAATTGATTTAGGGTTAATATTACAATTTGGGGCTGTCCATTTTGGTGATTTGGATCGCGAACCCATCTTGTTTGGGATCGATATACTCAAATCGTGGGTCGTTAAGGATAACCATAATCCTACCTCTTTAGTCTCTTGAGAAATATTCCAACAAGCTCCTCAGAAGTGATCTGTTTTGTCTTAATGAGATGCCCCAATTCAAGAATCTGATTCAGCAACAGTAAATTTTTTTAAAACAAGAAAGATAACAGAAGCACATGAGATTTCATAACCTCCACCTGAAGTCAGTATAGATTTATAATGGCAGTGATGAACTTACACTCATGAAGGCAATATCTTCTTCACTTTTTGGCCGCTGAACACCAGAAACAGAAGGGTAATTGAATGTTTTGCTTGTAAGTTGTGTCTTTTCATGGCTCCACTCAGGATTGAATACCAAATGAGATGGGTTATGTAACCCACCATTAACAGAAGCAATTAGTTTTCGATTGGCTCTGATTATAGGAATACTTAACTCCTTTGCACCCTTCTCAATCTCCAGCATCTAAGAGGAATGAAAATGTTAAAAAGACACATAAAATTGACATCCTCCACCTCCAAACATCAATTTTACAAGCCAAACTGACCAACCTTAGAGTCATTGAAAACGCCCGCATCCAATAACTCGAACCCACTTTGAAGTCGACACACATGACTAATATTTTCAGGGCATTCACTATGATTTTTGGACTCAAATTTCCCACTGCCCTTGTCACACTCCATCCCGAGAGANCATTCACTATGATTTTTGGACTCAAATTTCCCACTGCCCTTGTCACACTCCATCCCGAGAGACCTATTTGGTATCCCAAAAATATTAGTATAACTTGACACGTGGCAATACCTGCACTAGTAATACAAGAATGCATTTAAAATCGATATTGCCACCTAACAACTCCATAAAATAGGTAAACTATATAACAGAGTATACAACAATGTAATCAACTTAAACTAACACAAAACATTAGGGAATTCATCCCTTACATCAACAAGTAAATAAACACTCTTGTACAATATGTACACAACCAGTTTCTTGAATTTTTCATCTCGACTCTGTTAGTGTTGTAGTGGACCAAACTCTAAACTTCAACTCCGTGAAATCAAATATTTTCTCAATATAGTACGCATCATAATAAATGAAAATATAAAAAAATATGAATCAAATATCTTTTCATCAAAATATGTTCACCACGTGAGGAGAACAACAAATAAGTCAATGTATTCTTAACCCACTTTAAAACTCAAATCAACATCATATATCAATATAATAAATATTTCACAGATCCCAAAAGTCAACAACAACATTTAAGCAATTTCAACCTATCAATAACATTTAAGCATTGTTAACCTATCAATAACATTTAAGCAATTTCAAGCTATCAATAACATTTAAGAAATATCAAACCATCTCACGACAACTGCACAGTGTCCAGATTAACAACATGTAAACCATGTCACACTATCCAACAACTTTGACACAGTGAATACTACTCAAATTATCAGTTTTTCAACAAAATATATTTGATCAATTATTTGCTCAACTCAACACAAATCATCAAAATTTTATTTCACAAAGTGAAAAATAATTCATATGTCATATACTTTTATTTTCAGTTATTATGAAGTAATACATTTCATCTGTCACAACCAACCAACACATCACTTAACTTTATGCTCAATCCCTAAGTGAAATTGATATAATATCTTCTGAACCTAACACAAATCATATAACCATACACAATGAGTTTCAACTCAAAAAAACTCAACGAATGCAAATGTATGAATATCAGCATAGTTCATTTTAAATTTTGTTCGTTCTGTTTCAACTCGACTTAGATCAAAACAAAATCCAATCACATGGCTTATTTTCATAATAACTCAACATGAAACCAAATGAGTTAGAAAGTACACTTCTTAAGGTTTCTAACTATAGGTCATAAGTTCAAAACAACCTCCCATACACCATGTTATGATTATTTTTCAACAAGTTATCAAATTCGATATGTGGACTATTTTTAGCTATCTTTAAACTAAAAATTGAATTTATAAGTGAACAATATGATGTTCTAAGATATACCATTGGAAAGATCTCTGAGTGTAGTTTCCAACAAAATTGACGGTGCATCAATTTGAATTTTCTATAAAAAGTTATGCCTGTTTTACTAAAGAGTATCAAAGTTGTCCAATACCCCTCATATCCGAATTTTTTAATATTTTATTTTTTTGATCCAAACAATTCAATTTATTTCATACCACATTCAACTCAAATAAATTTAGGTCACTTAAACCACATTTTTACTCATTCGGTTCACTTAAACATTTCTTCGAATATTTACATGCATTAAAGTAACACAAGAACCGATCACTAAAGTTAATTAAAACAAGCTTCTATCCTTACTAAAATAACAAGAACTCAAATTAATCATAAAGTAGACTTCCGAAGTATTCTAACCATAAGTCATGAGCTAAAATTAAAGTTTCATGTGAAGAATAATGCTCACTTTTTTAGAAGGGTATTACGCTGATTATTTGTCATTGATCACAAAATTTCACTCGACTTTACATAGATGTCAGTTTTCACACAAATAAAATTAGGCTCTGGACTATATTTGGATAGAAACATCTATGAGTCTATCTATATAATAAAGTAGAACGATTTTGAATTCAAGAGACAAAGAGCGGCTCAGATTATTTCAAGATCAAAAAAGGCATCATCCAACGGCCGAAGATGTTTCAAATTGTCTCAAGCTATTGACGTCTCAGATCGTTTCGATCCGACGTACCATATTAGCTCTTTAAATTTTTTGCTGCTCAAAACCTTTAGTTTCCAAAACTAACATCCCTAAATTTAATTCCCCAACCCAATCAAATCCAGCAATTAAGCGATCTCTCATTCCTCAACTCTGTCTCTCTCTCCCTAAAATACAGATTACAACTCTTATCATTATTTCCCTGATTTTATTTCCTATGTTAAGGGATCATTTTCTATACTAAGACATTGACTATCTCTCACACTCTCATCTTTCATGATTCTCTTTCCAAACTGAGACACATGTCTCCCCAAAATTCTATCCTAATGCAGCTACTCTTCATTTTTACTGTTCATATCACACACACATCTTTACTGTACATATATATAATACAAAAATAGAAGACATACTATATCTACATGTTATATTTAGAAAAAATTTTATCTATACACTATGTAGTTGAGTATAAATTCAATGACAACCCCCGTAATAATAACTTTTGTCTCTATCAATAGATAAAATAACGATTTAACTAAATATTTTGTGAAAATACTAAAATTACCCTTTATTATGTAAATAAACTAAAATATCATCAATTTTTTCCCCATTATATATGCGCTAACGAACCAACAAACATAATTTCAATAATTATATTATCCCAGTAAATTTTTTATTTTAAAACGTTGTATTATAACTTTGTTATAATATTAGTCATCATATTATCACTCATTTGGTTACATAATCAAGTTTTTATAATTTTTATATTTTTTAATCATAATAATTTTTATAGTTAAAAATAATTTTTCTATAATAAAAATTACAATCGATAAAGTCAATGTCAAAATCTCATCCATTTCTAATTCCTCGGCTATCATATGTCCTCCACAACGTCGCCCGACCGCTAATCACACACCATACTTCGTATATAAAATTTAAGATATTTCATTCCTAACAATTGAAAAGAATACTTAAATCCATTCTAGAGATGAAATAACAACTCCAAATATAAACTTTAAGAGTTGAAAGGAAATCTCTTACCACACAAATATGTATTCTTCACCACCACAAAAAGGAAGCCCCAAGCTTAATTGCAAGATACCAAAATCAAAAATACAAAGCAAGACTTAATTTTTGAGAAAGGAAAACAAGGGTTTGAGAAAAGAGGGCAACCATGGATGCTTAAAGAAGAGAGCAGCTGATATAGATATCAGCCCTCAAAGTTAATGCTGTTAATCTTGCTCCCCCAACTTTCAAGTGTTACAATTTGGCCCTCATATTATTAAAATAAAAATTATGATAACCCCCAATAAATTTCAAGCCTTCACTCCTCTAGTGTTAATAAGAAATTGAACAAGATATGATGAGACTTTACCCGATCCCATCAGGTATAACTCTCGGAAATTTTTAATAATTATACTTGCATCCCCATAACTTTCCGACACAACATTTCCCCAAATTTTTTACAAGTATTCACCTGTTTTACAACAGTCAGTGTTCTTCCACCAAAAATTACACTCAACTTAATGAACATGGTTTTCCTTCTCCGCTGCTTAGTTTAGATAACTAGTAATGCGATTGAAAAAGTGACTCAAACTTCATATTCAATTTAAAAACAAATGAGAGAGAGAGATCACCACATTTCCGTTACTTCTGGCGAGGTGGAGGTGGGACGGTGGTTGGTGGAAGGAGTAGCTATTGAGAATACAAGTACTAACACGTAGGAGAAGAGCCATAAGCGTGGCCATTGAATTGGCTTTGAAGGACACATGGGTAGCCGATTTGGTCGCTACTTTGAAGGAGAAGAGACGTCCTTCTGTATTCTTCTGTCCGTTGCAGTCTCTCTTTTTTCCAAGTCCCGGCTGACACACTGATACTGGGGCTTTATCCGTCTACGATTGATTGCCTGAGATGTCACGTTGACTTTGATTAACCCGTTTACTAATACTAAGCGAGAAGGACCGCTATTCAGTTCCAAAAAAATAAAAAAAGGGTAATTTTCACGCACCCTTGTACTTAGGTGATATTTCGCGTCCCTCCTGGGTATAAAAAGCTGGTACAGAAAAATAGTGCGTGCGTCCTATTTTATATCTTGTTTGTTTGATATTTTTTATTTGGTATTAATTTTTGAGTCATAATAGTATGAACAATAACTCTTATGTCTTATATATGGTGCTAAGTAATACCACCTATCCGGTGGTATAATATTCTCGGTATTAATTTTATGGAGGTATAATAGAGTAAAAAGACTCAAATATCCCTCATGTACAATGCCCCATATAAAATTATAAGGTTACAATTGTCTTTTTACATTGAGTAGTTGTAATTTTTAATTTTTTTAAGTAAGTATTACATAGATAATATTTGTGACAAACAAACAAGGGAAAGAATGAGATTATAGTTTAAGACCGGGTATGATATACCATTAAATCAGAGTGGGATACATATAAAACCTTACACCACCTAAATCTTATACCTCAAACAAACAGCCCCTAGTGTTTAAAATATCAGTGCATACCTCTATCAGATTTTGTTCGCTAATGACAAGAACGAAGAATGTGATTTTACGTAATTACTAGAACTATCATTTTACAGGTGTTATTGAAATTTACTCTTTTATTTTTTTAATTTTTTTATTTTTACCATATGTTATGCCCTAACTAATTATGGTCACAAACTATTTTTCACCAAAAGAGTTTATATGTCCATTTCACAGACTATCATTATTAAAATAAATATATAAAATTAAATTAAATTAATATTTAATTTCATTAAATCAACACTAAATTAATTTTTAATTTTATAAAATTATTACTCAATTTTATCAAATAAACATTTAATTTTATTCAATTGATATTCACTTTTATCACATTAACACCAAATCAATGCTACATTTTATCACATTAGCACCAAATTTGTCTTCAATTTCGTCATCAAAATTAATGTGTAAATTCATAAAATTAATATTTAATCAAATTAGTGCCAAAT